ACATCACCCGTGGGGTTCTGGGGGCACATCACCCGTGGGGTTTGGGGTCACATCACCCGTGGGGTGCTGGGCACGCTGGGGACAAGCTGCCACCCCCCCAAGCACTGGGGCTCTGGTGTTCGTTTCGTGGTGGGTGTTCAGCGTTTCACATGGCTCCACGTGGCTGCATGTCCAGCTGTAGCCACACATACATAAACTCAGTGCCTGCCTGATTTGGCCTCTTGTTTTATGGGCTGTCATCTCCCTTCTGTGTCTTCCAGCAGTGTTTCTTCCATACAATTTTATTTCTAATATAATTTTTACACTTTAAAAGATACCGAGCAGGGTTTACCTAACTGGTATCCTAGCACAGCGTGATACGGGTATGTACTTTTGAAATGTCCTGTTTGTGTTTGCATTACACAGTTTTTATATAGATGTATTTTATCATTTTAATAAACACAATAAAATTTTATTTTGCAGTCACTGCATGTAATGGAACACAGCCTCATTTTTTTTGCAGCACCAGCGGGTACTTCTAGATGATCTACATTTATATGGTTATTTTCCTGCCAGAGGATCTCAAATCATTTTATAGACTTCATTTACTACTAATGTGTAGCCACTTCATGAGTGGGATGTGGCAGCGCAGAAACTTTAGGTTGCAGGAAGTTTAACTGGAACTCTCATAATGTTCTTTTTGTTGGAAATGCTTTTTAAAAATACACATATATGTATCATCATAGAACCACAGAATATTAAGGGGTTGGAGTGGACCTTTAAGATATCTAGTCCCAGCCCCCTGCCATGGGCATGGACACCTCCCACTAGACCAGGTTGCTCAAGGCCTCATCCAGCCTGGCCTTGAACACTGCAATATATATATATGTAGTGTCCTGCTGATAATGCATTTTAGTAGTCATACATCCTAGACTTAAATCTCTCAATTTTTAGCAGATACTGACATGCATCCTCTTCAAAAATACGCTCTTCTCAGTCAACTTTGTAAGCACCTAGCCCTTGTGGTACTGAATTTTTAGGAGCCCTCAGACTTTGTCTAGCTGCTGCTGCTAAAGTCACTCATTTCTGCTAGTGAGAGCACACTAAAAAATACAGCTGTTGTCTTGCTTAAAGGAAGGCATCAGGAAGTGATGTAAATTGATGTTGTCTTGCTGTTTTAATGATCTGCCACAAATTGAAAAGCCTGAGCTTGCTTGAGACAGAGTGGCATTGTACAACGTTGTGCAAGGGGCAGAAAGCAGAGTTGGCTTCGTTACAGGGAGGTGATACAGCAGGCATGGAGAAATTGTTGAAAAGGCTGAGAAATGCCTGGAATGATACAAGGCCAAAAACATAGCTGTGTAACCTATATCAGTGCTTGCAGCTAATAAAAGTGAGTAGGTGATTTTATAACACCTGAACAGTATTTTTAGTAGTAAAATCTCATCTCAAAATAATCCTTAAATTCAAAGTGAAATAGCTTCACAGGCTGATCTAGCCACCAGTATTTAATTAGCTTCTGGATGATTATTCTTTCTCAGCATTTATGTTGGTGATTAAAGTTGTGCTGTTTGTAGGCTCTGGTTCTGCAAAAATTGTCATCAGCTCATGAGCAAAGGGCAGATAATAATTGTTAAGTGTGGAAACTTTTTTCACTCTTCTCAGAAACTGCTCCGAGTCATAGCAGCACCTTCACATTTCTGAGAACATCTGAAATTGTGTCTTCCTGCTCACATGTGGCTTTACATCTTCAAGTTCATTTTTTTTTTTTTCTCTGTACGGCATAATCAATGGGTTACCAGATATGTCAGAGCAGATGGGACCTGTGTGGTCCCCACAGCACACAGCCCCACTCTGACAGAGTTCAATCTTTCAGTTTCTCCACCAAATTCATAAGAAGTTTACTTCCTCAACAGTGTGAACCACAGGTGTTGACTGGACTCTGCAGTTTGACTAAATAGCCACTTTCTGAAGCAAAAACTACCATGGAAATTCTGTTCTTTAACAGCTTAATCCCTTATTTGGAAAAATCCATGTGTAGGGTTGGGTAGATACAAAAGGAAGTAAAATATGGGTTTGAATTGTTAAGATGTTTCTATGGCCAAGAAACACTTCACCATGATTTGGTCTGGAGTTTTTTTTTCCCTTACAAAATTGTATCCATCTTCTCAATATTTCACAGTGCTTTTAACTGCTGTGCTGGAAAGTAAGAAAAAAAAGTAGTGAGAACCATATCTTGACTTGGATAGAGGCATTTAGATCTCAAAAAAAGGCCAGGGCAAAGGTTAAAGCTCAGAAGAGCAAGTTACCCTGCAGTTATGCAAACAGAACAGGGGATTTGGTGCTCTCTATTCAATAGATAGTAGAGAGTTTCTCAGTTGTCTGATATTCTTGACAGATTTTTGCAAGTATGTAAAATAATTTAAATGAGAGGAGACACATTTGTATTTGTTTTGTCTGGATGTAAGTTAAGAAAATGTACAAGGTACAAGAGAATGAGAAGACAAGTTTTTAAAACCTTCTTTCAAGTTTTAATGTGGAATTCAGTCTGGAATGGGCAGAGACATAGTGAGGTATGAGTCTGCTAGCACTTTTTCATCATATAAGCATTTTTTATTTTCCCTCCTATATTCAGTCTTTTATAAGCCCAGCACAGACTCTCATGAAAATCAAAAACTGGCAAGGCCATCTTTCCTTCAAGCTCTGAAAAATGTGCAGTAATAAGATCACCTATTAGAAGCAGGTGACGTTTGAAGTCATATATCTAAACTTGCTGGAGGGAAGACATTCAGGTTAAGAAAAGACAGAGGGGCCAGGGCTTGGAAGACTTTGTGCTCTGCAGTTATCTGCTCTGATGCTAATTTTCTTTTGAATTATTATCATTGATGCACTTCTCATTCTACCTAGGCCCCAATGAGAGATGCAACATGTAAAAAGCATGGAAGAAAGGGATGCAAAACCCTCATGAGTTGCATTAGCTGGCAGTGCTGACCTGCTCTATCTTTCTCCAGTAGTGCTGGGCATTTGAGGATGTCTGCACTGTATGGCACAGATATTTGTGGGATCAGGAGATTGCCTCCAAAATTGTTTTTTTGCTGGCTCAAACCTGTGTTATAATGTTTTGTTCACTAGGTGCAAAAAAGTCAGTTTACTCTGTTTGATGCATCAAAGTTTGTATCTCTCCCCTTGCCAATAGATAGTTTGAAATTTGCCTATTTTGATTTTGCTCATGGTAGAAATGCTGGAGTAGGAAACAAAGTCGGTTTGTGATGCATTATAATGCTTTATGATGCATTGAAGTTTGTATCTCTACCCTTTCCAATGGACATTTTACTCCAGCTGTGTTAAATTAAAATAAAGCAAGTTGATCTTTCGGTAAAGTTTGGATAAACTAATTGCATCTATTTCCTGTATAGGTGATTGGACATCCCAAGTACCAAGAATCCAAAAGAATTGCAATCTTCCTGAGCATGCCAGATGAAATCCAGACAGAAGAAATTATTAAGGACATTTTTAAGCAAGGCAAAGAGTGTTTCATCCCCCGTTACAAGCCTCAGAGCAATCACATGGACATGCTGAAGTTGTCATCAGCTGAAGACATTTCTTCACTTGCTTTGACATCATGGAATATTCTTCAGCCCAGTGATGATGACAGTGGAAGAGAGGAAGCTCTTGCTGGTGGTGAGTATCTTTCTCCTGCATTGTGGGGTAGTTGAGCAAGAGTACCTTGGAGGGCAGTAGGAAATACTCTGATAGCAAGAGTGAAATGAAATGTTACACTTGGGTTTTATATGTTGTAGAGAGATGCTCCTTTCCCTTGCCTGTTTTTCTCTACCCTGTGCCACTCCTGCGACATGCCAGCAGGACAGGAGCAAGACTGCACCGTTGATCCAGCTGAAAGAAAACTCAACCCTCCAGATGAATCATTTTCCTGGTCTGATTCATAGCCACCCTCAGTGCAGTCTCAGCAAGATTAACGTAGAGGCTTGTCAAGGAGACAGGGACTTGCCAGGGGTAGCCTAGGCTGCTATTGAAAGTCATGGGGATTCACAGGTTTAGGATGCACTCTGTGAACTTTAGTTTTCACTGCCTGAAAGGTTGGGAACTTTTCAGGTGAAGCCTGTAGACTGACATGAGAATTTTCTGAAATCTTTGATCCTGCAAATTGTATTATGTGGGGGAATCACAGTGCTGATGTGGAGCTGCCCATGTAGAACACCTCTCTGGACTGAGACTCAGACTGAAAGTAAAAGTACTTTCTTGTAGGCCTGGATGAATATTGCAAAGTCTTTTTCATCATTGTTCTCTCATATTTTTATTTTTATCTTACAATGCTGTCTCAGACATTGGATTCTTCATAAATTGAAAAGTTACAAGTTCATTTAGATCTAGCCTGGTGTATGTGTGTTTTGATCCCCAAATAACCTCTCTCTCTTACCCTGAAATTCCCCTCAGCTCCTACAAACTTGTAAACAAACTTATTTTTTCTGTGTTTGCATTCATTAGCTACATTTTTTTTGTAAACACTTCAATATCTTCCTGAAACATCTGCAGAAATGTTTAATCTTATTAAGGGAAAACTCATGTTCAACTCATGCTTGAAACCTCAGTCTGGGAAAATTTTGTGTAGGTGGAAATTCACCATGTAGGCAGCTTCCACACCTCACAGACTTACCAGCTTTTTAGTGCTTGACAAAGGAACATAACATTTCTATGACTCTGTTTGATTGAACTCGGGCTTCTATTTGCTTTGGGATGCCAATGTACTTTCCCAGAACACTTCACTGTGTTTGTTTCTCTTTTATTTTTTATTACTACCTCTTTCCTAATTCAGAGTCCTTTCTGTGTCCATGTTGTAGCTAGCATGGTATTTCTGTGGTTCCTACAACCATCATCTTTACATTTAATATTTAGTACTGTGACTTTTTTCCTAATTTTTGTCAAAAAAATGTGTATATTGGTGGATTTCGGAGCTTTTGAAGGTAACCTTTAAAATATCCAGTGTTCTGTTGACTGAGCTTAGTTTAGGCACGCAGGACAAGCTTTTGAATTACTGATGAGCTGCTGTTAATTGAATTTAGCAAGTCTGTTGCAGACATCACAGAGTAAACACGATTTTAGGTATGATGGGAGTGAGGACTTCTGGATGTAGAGTGCACTGAGATGTACCTGGGTGCTAGGCAGGAGCACATTTTGGTACCTGTCTGGTTCTGTTTAATTCTCTGCATCAGGGTATGGGTAGAAACTAATGCCAAAAGAGCTACTGCAGTCTACAGAGAGATGCCAAGAGACCAGTTGTAACAACTGGTGTATGTCCATGTCAGCCTTGTTCTGCCTGAAGCTTGATTTGAGTCTGTTTGTACTCACTAACTCGGGAAAAACACCATTTGGATTGGAAGTCAGACCTTGGTCCTTTATCCTTGACAGGTGTTGTAGATTAGAGAATAAGTTTAGGTTTTTTATACTGTTACATGATCAGACACACAGTCTTAATTTGTCCCCACAGAAACACACACTTCATCTCAATATGTCTTTAAATTCCTTTTGCTGTATTTTTTTGTGT